TCCACTCCTCATATTTTTGTGGGGTATCCATCTGGTTCAAAAGGTTACAAAGTCTTAAGCTTGGTCACAAGGAAGATACATGTGTCAGCATATGTAGTTTTTCATGAGAATGTGTTCCATTTCCACTTATCTTTCAATTTCAACAATATGTCCTTCCCTGGGAAGTTTGCGTCTACACAAGAGGGACTCCCTGATACATCAGTTTTCTGAGTCTGATGTTCCTCATGAGTCACCACACCACTCTATTGCAGTTTCACCTGAATCTCACCATGATGTAATGCCACCTGGATATTCACATAACCATGGCCAATCATCACCCATATCCATGCACCAAAGTGACAACCTAGTAACTGAATCAGCTCCACACAGTCAGGACCAACCCTATGTTCCTGATTTCACTAATTTTTCTGAGCACCAGATTCATAACCAGTGTAGACCTGCTAGACCACACAAAACACCTATCTATCTAAAGGACTATGTGTATTAAATCTCAAATCTCCAACCACGTCCATCTACCCAAAGTCAAGAAACACAATCTACATCTTTCACTGTCCTTTTGCCAAACAAACAACATTTTTCTTTTCATGCATTAACTCCTGAAAGTCGGCAGATGGTAAGAAGCATTTCACATGAATGTGAGCCTTGTTCATATAAAGAAGCAGTCAATTATCATGCCTGGCAAGCAGTAATGAATCAAGAATTCCAGGCATTGTACACAAATCATACATGGGACTTGGTACCTTTTCCATATGGAAAGAAGGTTATAGGATGCAAGTGGGTGTATAAAATCAAGCACAAGGCAGATGGAAGCATTGAAAGATTCAAAGCCAGGCTAGTTGTCAAAGGGTACACTCAACAAGCTGGAATAGACTATACAGAGATCTCCTCACCAGTGGTAAAGATTACCACTGTAAGGGCTCTGGTAGGGACAACAGTTAAGAAGGGTTGGAAAATGTTCCAACTGGATGTGAATAATGATTTTCTTCATGGAGACTTACATGAAGAAGTCTATACGGAAGTGCCACCTGGTTTAGTTATAGAGAGACCAGGCTTAGTGTGCCAACTGAACAAATCTTTATATGGCCTGAAGCAGGAAAGCAGACAATGGCATGAAAAACTTGCAGAAGCACTGTGTTCTAAGGGATATACTCACTTATTACTGGACTATTCCTTATTTCATAAGAAGAAGGACAACACAATAGTGTTTGTGGCAGTATATGTAGATGATGTTATACTCACAGGAAATGACCTTGATGAGATCAACTCTCTAAAGAAGTTCTTGGACCAGACCTTCAAGATCAAAGACTTGGGGATTTTGCATTACTTCTTGGGGCTGGAAGTGATAACGAGAATGGGGTGCTGATTCTCAGAGAAAGTTCACTATGGACTTACTAAGGGAGTATGACTGCTTGCAACAACCTCCATTATCCTCTCTCTTGATCCTTCACTCAAGTTGAAAGCTGACCAAGGTGTTCCATTGAAGGATCCCACTCAATACAGAAAACTCGTTGGGAAGCTGAACTTTCTCACTAACACCAGGCTTGATATAGCCTTCAGTGTACAACATCATAGCCAATACATGCAGAATCCCAGGGATACTCACTTAAAAGCTGCATATCATGTGTTAAGGTACTTAAAGGGTGATACAAACTTGGGGATATTCCTCTCTGACAGTACAGATTATAAGATCAGTGCCTTTTGTGATTCAGACTGTGCTGCTTGCCCAAAGTCCAGGAAATCTGGTAGTGGATACTTAATATTACTTGGTGGCTGCCCAGTTAGCTGGAAGTCAAAGAAACGGTCCACCATAGCTTTGTCCTCAGCTGAAGCAGAGTACAGGTCAACTAGAGCAGTGGTTGGTGAACTTGTGTGGTTAGTCAGGCTGTTTGAAGAATTAGCAGTTCCATTATCTCTCCCAATTCCAGTCTTCTATGATAGTCAGGCAGCCCTACACATAGCCAAGAATCCAGTTTTTTACGAACTCGCCAAACATATAGAAGTTGGCTATCATTTTGTGCGAGACAAGCTTCAGGAAAGACTGATTTCATTACACTATATTCCAACATCTGAACAACTAGCTGATATATTCACCAAGACCCTCACAGGGATCAAGCATTCCACTTTACTTGACAAGATTGGTGTGAGTTCCTCACCTCCAACTTGGGGGGGGGGGGGGGGGGGATATTGAG